GAGAATGAAGACTGGCTATTTGCACTAGATATCCACCTCTGAAGATCTGAGGTCGCAGGGGGTGAGACTCAATGGCCCAAATGGCTTCTTGAAGCCTCTGGAACTTTAAATATTTTAAAACTTCTTTATGCAGGAACAGTAGAATTTACAGAGACATTGCAACCTATCAATCTGAGGATCTTCTGCTAGTGGACAAATAATGCTGCCCCCATCAAATTCAGCAATAGTCTGATGAATACTTCACACAGCTGAATTCTTCAGCCTTTCAAGGAAGCTTTTGAAGCTCTTCATCTGCAGACTCTGAACACAGGGATTTCCAAAGTATACTAAAGAGGCTTATGAAAAATGGCCAAGAAAAGCATGTTCAGGTATGTTATCTATCCATAAACACCTGCATAATGTCTAAATGGATCCACAGTTTCACTGGTAAATTTTTGAGGTCCCTAAATTAAAAAGCATCAAAGAAACAAAACTTTCAACAAAGGATAACTCAAACTGATAATAAAATCATATTATCTTGCATTTCAGTACTTTCCTCCTTAAGCTGCAGAATACACTTCACCTTAGCATATTCAATATTTGTACCCGAGACTGCAGAGAAATTTGTTTCTGAGGCTACATGCCTCTGAATTTAACCAGATCCACCCTGTTCTTTCTTTTTCTAGAATTTTGCCCATGAACAGACAAACTTGAGTGCTTGAGATTTCTAAATGCCAAGATAACTTGGGCATCCCCATGCAAACAAATTTCACTATATATATGCTGTTTTGGGAACATGGGCCTGACACTGGCTGGATGCACCAGCTGCGCTGGATGCCCTGGCTGTGCTGGACACACAGAGATCAAATGACACATGTGGCACCTGCTCAGTGTGGCTGATACCACCCCAATGCATTGGATTTACTGTGCACAGATAGGTTACCTCTGTAGCTCCTGGGTGTCTTAGGCTAAAGCACATATGCCACACCACAGGTGTGTGGAGGAGGAAAGCCTGGAGAGGAACTTGAGAGTTGTAGTTCATAACATTGAATGGGCCTAATAAATATTGTAGGGAAAGAAAGTCCATTCAGTTGGAAGCATAATGTAATTCTGTTTTTGCCTTAAAGAGCTCTACAGTATTATTGTTTATTCTAGATACTTTCCATATTAGTTGTTAAAGTTGCAGCTAAATGCAGTAACTTAACATTAAATATCCCTTAGCAGAGGCATGAAGAATTTTTAACAGAGGTATAACATACCTATACCATGGCTTATATATACCAAAGGAGCTGCAACAGCAAATGACCATTCAGTGGCCTTGGAGTAACTCAGACGTCATAATGCAAAAACCCCACCTTTCCCCCTTATTAGGAGGCTTTTCCCTATTAGGAGGGAAAAGCCCGTGGTGAAATCTGCCATTTGATTCTACATATTTATCACTAGTTCTCAGTAAAGATGCTCACTTGATCAAGAGACTATGTATCATATCCTGGACCTTTGGACACTCCAGTCTTCACATACGTGTTGATTATGTTCATACAGCATCAAGTAGCTACAAAATGGGAACTGCGTTTAAGTCTGATGAGCGTTTGGCTCCCTCTGTGCTGTCATGCTTCTGAAGCTGCTGACTTAGTATTTATTTTACAATAATTTGATCTATATTTGTTCTGTTTGCAGTTGGTATTTAAGCTAATTGTGTCCTTCCTCCAGCACATTGTAGCATAAGGGAAACAAAGAAATAATTACAAACTCTACAGCTACTCTTTTTGGGTTTTCTGTGAAACAGGCTATCCTATGAAACATTGGAGCCAAAACACCTAAGAACACTGAATTCATCTCCAATGCACTGCATTTATGGAGGCTACTAACACTCCAGCCTCCAATCCACTTAAAAATGCAGAAGGACTGCAATTGCAGTCCTCTGCCATCTCTAATTACTGCCTTAGACAGCAAAGGTCGGCACATTACACCTGGCCAGCCCAGGAGGTTAGGACCCTGCCTGGAGCCTGGAATGAAGCAAGGTTTCAAGCCAATCTGAAAGGGATGAGGTAAGCTTGAAGCACTTTGCAGAGAAAGCAATCCCATCAAATGAGACCACAAAAAGGTGTCAAGGCCCTGGGAAACAGATCTGTGCTCCAGAAAGTCATTTGGCCTGCCCTTTGGAGAGGGGCTTGATCTCACAATCCTACTAACCCCTGATCCAAGTGGTGTGTGTGAGACTCAACCTCTTTGGAATAAGACAAGTGCACACCTTGGGACAAAACACTCCCCTCAGCCTGCACAGGGGACACTTTTAGGGAACAACAGTGCACCTCTCTTAGAATGCAGGAAGCATCCAGTCCTGCTCAGTGCCCATACACTGCCCTGTGCATATTGAGACAACATGGGTGATGATGGTGCTCCCACCATTTTGTGAGCTGCCTCCTGCAAAAGCCTTCAGCAATGCAGATGACCAACAGTATCCACAGGCAAAAGCCTTCAAGCAATGCAGATGACCAACAGTATCCACAGTATTCACAGTGGCAGGTTCACCAGCAGACATTTGGGGAGCTGCAAGCAACTCTCCGTGCTTGTGGTTCATTGCCAGGTGCTTGTAAGAGAAACCTCAACGTGGAGAGAGAAGTCTGCATGGTGTAGCCATTGACTCCTCTTGTGTACATCATTCTATGCCTTTTACATGCTGAAGGGCTCATGCCACCAAATCGTAAGCGGAGAGAAACAAATACATTTAAGACAGTGATGGGGGTGACTTGAACAAAGTGCTGCTGTAGCAGGAAGGCAGTAATGTGTCTGGGTAGGATCAGCCTCACAGGCTGTTTGAAGACCGCTCTCCAGACACCACACACTTTTAAATCAACTGAAAACAGCATAAAAGTGGATCAAAGTATTTCACTGCTCTCTTACAGCTACCGTTTTCTGCAGGTCTCCCCTGACTCATCCAACTTGACAACACAGGGGAGAGAAGAATTTCTGACTTTTGGGCATGGGTGCTGTACAAACTGTTGCCATGCAAAGACCACAGGAATTCCCTGGGTTTTCCTCAATTTCTGAGTGCTGTGTGAAGAAAAGCACTCCATCCTTTTCCCTTGTAGCCAGGTCCATCTGTTTGTGATCTGCAGGGTTAAGAAACTGGAACCAAACTATCGCCCCTTTTTCAAATCACTATCCTGATCAATAACCTGTGACCCAGCTCTGCTTTGGCAAAGCCTATGTCTGTACCTGGAAACAGAGATACCTGGAAGAGGCTGTACATTGATACTACCATAGCTCCAGTAAAACACAGATTGTCTTTCCTCCTGTATCTTGTTTACTGAATCCACAGGAAAAAGCAAAACTGGCAACAATGAGAAGTTGTGGACGCTAGGAACAGGCAGGATCTCTGCTCCTGCCTGTCCCCTTGAGCTGCTGCAGAGAAACCAGCTCACCAGGAACCATATACGCAGAAATTAGTTCCAAGATAAAAGAAAGCATTGTACAAATACTACCACTCTGGAAAAATGGAGCATTAAGGCCCTCCCACCCTGAAGCTTCTGCCAGAGCTACAAACTAACTGATGCTGATTTCCCCCTAATGTTCTTCTTGCCACCAGCACTGCTGCACACCTGTGCAGAGGGGAACACAGTAGCAAGAAAAGCTGATCACTGTCTTTTGTAGGACAGCACTTATCCAGCACAGTGCTCACCATGGAGAAGAAGATCACCATGTGTGATAGCACCAACGATCCTGGCAAGCTGAAGCCCTGAGAGGAAACACTTTTGGCCAATCTCCCCCCGTGGAGGGTCTGAAAGGATGTCAGGGGCTGCCAGTCTGTGAGCAGCAGGAGCCCAAGCTGGGATATGTAGAGGCGGCAGCCTACGCGAGATTCCAGCAAGGGGAAACACTAGCAAGAAAAGGAAAGAGAGACGACTAAATGGGGAAGGACATAGATGTGTGTCTGTGGAAGAGGAGATGGGTGCTTGCGAGGGGTCGAAGTGAAGTCACGACACACGATTCCACGCTTGGTGCCTCCGTGCTGTGTTAGCCTGGCTGCTCCCAGAAAAAAACAGAGCTGGGCTGCCCATCGTTGGAGCTGCGGCAGGCGCAGGGAAAGAAGATGCCTCCAGATAAGGAGACAGAAATGTAACCCAATTACTGGATACTGTCTGCATCCTGTAACGGGCTAAACAGAGAGGGCTGAGCAAGGGCAAAAGAAGCAACCTTGAAGCTGCATCTGCGCTTTTGCTAAGTGAATGTCTCCAGTATTCATGTGAGTATTTTGCTACTTCTTAGTGAGTCATATTAATTCTCTCTTTAAAAAGCCACCAGAGTTAGCATAATGCTCACATACCACTGTGAAAATCCTATACCTGCTATTGTGAGAGACCTATTATTAGCGAGGCATTATTATCTGTCATTTGGATTGTAAACTGTCTTACTGTGAGCTAGTTCATGTGGATTGCTCTGCACCGAGCTCCTAACCCCACCACAGCCACTACTCTGTAAATTCCCATGCGGGCACACTAATTTTGAGATCAGAATCCAAGGAGGATGTAATGAAGCTCAACAGCACTCCAGGATGTGTACAGTGCCTCCCACCACGGAGCCCAACCTCCAGCAGGACTTGCGCCCACTACAGGTAGTGAATAATAGCACTGGCAGGTCTGACAGGGAGAGGAGGCTGAAGCAGTGGGGAAACAGTTTCCTGTTTCCCCTTCCCTGCCTGAGCTGCGAGGTGTATAATCCTTCTCTCGGCTCCTCTGCATAAAATAAGCTTTCTCACCTAGCCATGTTTTTCAGCCAAAGGGATCAGGGGGGTAGAGCTGGAGTGGGCGGGGGAGCATTGCCACTGCAATTGCCTACTCCAAGCTTTGGAGAATGACTTGGTTTGGAGCTGCTGGAGCAAGATCAAAGCCAGTGACCCTGCACAGGAGAGAAACAGGGGCAGAAAGTGTGGGGAACCTTTCCTCACCCTGATGTCTGAACAAAGGGAAGCAGGTTTAGCAAGACAGACAGCAGTTTCTACAAAGGGGAATGTTTCTTACAGTCACTGTGCACAGCATAGGAAGGCAGCAGGCTGATGGGGGAGAGATCATCTTCAGGTCCCTCTACCACTGAAGGGGACCCCTTGGGAGGCGTCTTACCGGTGGGCAGGGGCAAGGTGGAGACCGTGTTGAGCAGCACCACGCAGACAGCCACAACATCCCATAACTTCATCTTAGATCTCCTTCCAACACGGGCCCCTGTCAGAAAGGAGAAGCGGGGTTAGCTTGCAGCTGCTGTGCTCCCCCAGTTCTGCCCCCACCCTGCAGTCCTGAGACAAAGCTGAGCAATCTTGCACCCAGGATCAGACTGGTTCACTTGGGTCAGGCCTGGGGACAGGGCAGGGGAAACAACCTGTCACCAGCTCAGCCTTCCAGAGCAAGTGATGGGCTCTCCCCAGCGAGAGAGTGTTGTGGGAGAGGGAGAGAGAGGATAGCTACCAGTCCCTCAACGCCCAAGAGAGCTGTACTGGGGCATGTGGGCAGGCAAGCCCCAGGAGTCTGTTTCTAGGGACGTAGGAGTGTGACCATGGCCCTGTGCTGGCTGGCAGGCAGGTCACCTTGTGCTTTTCCAACACTTGAGTGGTGTCAGGGCACTTATTCCCGGGCTGGACCAGGAAGGACCGTGCTGATCTGGGGTGCTGGGCTGTGCAGACTTGATGTGCTAGAGGCAAATCTTCCTTTCCCTTTCCCTCACTTCTCCTTCCCCTCTCCTCTTTTTTGTTTTCCTTTTTCTCTTTCCTTTCCTCTTTCTCCTTTCCCCGCCCTTCTCCTTCCCCTTTCCATTCCCCTATTCAGTCCTCTACCCTCTTCATTTTTCTTTCAGTCTCCTGTTCTTTCTTCGTCTCCTTTTTTTTTCCTTATCCTTTTGCTTTTTCCCATTCGTTCCCCTTTCCCTATCATCTTCCTCTTTTCTTCCTCCTCTTCTTCCTTCCTGTTTCCCTTTCCCTTTTCTTCAAGATTTCCTTTTAACTCCCTTTTCTCCTTCCTCTTTCGTTCTTTCTTCCTCTCTTTCTCTCCTCTCTTTTTTCTTTTTCTCTATTTTTTTCTCTCTCTTTCTTCTCCAGTCCTCTTTCTCTTCCCTTCTCCTTTCTCTTTCTTTCTCTCCCTTCCCTTGTCCCTCTTTCTTCTCCTCTCTCCCCGGCCGCCCTGCCTGCAGTCTGCCACGGCACGTACCCGCTGCCCGGGGATGACAGCTGCTCCCAGCCCGGTTCGGCCTGGCCCGGGGAGCAGCACAGAGCAGTGTCCGGCCCGGGAGGAGCAGCCCCGCCGGGGGGACCCGCAGCGGTCCCGGTCCCGCTGCGGAGCGCGGCTGCTGCTCGGTGCGCGCTTCCCCCGCCGGCCGCTGCCTTCGCACCTCGCCGTGTCCGGGGGGTGCTACGGGGCAGCCCTGTGTCCCCGGGGACAGTACCCGCCCGAGCCACCCGCCCCTCCGCGCACTCCGCCTCGCCCTCACCTCTGAGCTGGTCTCGTCGGACCCGAGATGGACATTAACGCAGTGGAGTCGAGCGGCCGGACGGGCGATGCATGTGGGCAGGTCGGGGGTCCGACCGTCGGCACCCTCTTTGCACAAAGGAGGGGGGAAGGGGGAGAGACGCGTGGAGGAGGGGGAGTGAGGTCGCAGGTCTGGATGGAGGCAGCGGGGAGCCGCCAGCACAGTCCCCGGCGGTCTCCCCCGCCGCCGTCGCAGGTGCTGTGCCCGCGGCAGGAGCGGCGCCGCGGCGCTCTCTGCCCGCTCCGGCCCCGGGGCCGCGCTCAGCAGCGGCAGGAGCGGCCCGAGCCGCGGGGAGCGCCGCCTGGCAGCGGGAGCTGGCGCTGGGTGTTGCGCTTGGGACCCTGCCTGGAAATCTGAGAAAGACACTCCATCAACAACTGCGGGGAGTCAGATGAAGACATCAGCGCTCCTGTAATGCCAGCTGGTCCAGCACTGCGGGGAGCCGCGCACCGCTCGGACACGCACACAACGGCGGGAAAGAAAAAAAAAAAAAAAGAAAACCACGAGAAAAAAACCCCACCCCAGCGGAGGAAGGAAGGGGAAAAATGTATTAAAAAAAAAAAAAAAATCAAACCCCCCCTCAGCCTGCTGTGAGAATCAGAGGCCGGCGCTGGAATTTGTAGAGCCGGTAGCAGCAGCAGCGAGGCTTCCTACTCCAGAGCGGGGTCTCGTCGCGGCGAAATCTTAGATCCAAGAGGGAGCGCGGCGGGAAGCCGGGCCGGTGTCGGGAGCGCCCGCTCCGGCTGGGCCTGGGCGCGCCCGGCTGCCCGGGCGCTGGCGGGGCTGGGCGGGGGCGCAGGGCTGGGCGAGGCGCGGGGGGCGCCGCACCCGCGGGCGGAGGGAGCACGGAGCCGGACGTGCGGACGCGGGGGCTTTGCCAGGGCTACTCGGCGCCACAGATGGATTTATAGGGCCCTTTGGCAGTGACGCGCCCTCCGCTGATTCGCTTTCAGACCCAAACACACGCTGGCCCCCCGCACCGGACCCCGCGGAGCCTCCAAATATCTCCCGGCTGAAGTCACCGGCCCGACATACCGTGGGCTGCGCGGCCGCCGGCGCAGCCCCGCGGCACCCGCTTGGCCCCGCGGCGGCGGCGGGGCCAGGCCGGGGTAACCCAACACCGGGGTCCCTCCCCAGCGCCGCTCGCCGCGCTCCCGCGGACGGACGGACTGACGGACCGACCCACGGCCGGAGGCGGCGGGGAGGCCGCCCCCTCCTCGCCCCTCGCCGGCCGCAGGTGCCGCGGCCGCGGGTACCCCGCGGGAGCCGCGCTGCGGGGTGCGGGACCCCTGCGCGGGGGGCGGCGGGTTGACTCGCCGGAGGCCGCAGCGAAGTTGCTGTAAACAGTTTCGGCTTTCAGCCCCGGGCCGTGTATTTATGACTCACGCAGTTGTCCGGAGGTATGAGGTCCTCATGTCGCCGGTGCTGTGGAATCAGCGCGGCACAGCCCGGGCGGGCGGCTGGGGAGCGTAGGGCTTGTGCGGCGTCCCGCAGACCGCTCCCTCTGCCCCGCGCGGCTTCTCTTTTAGAATATTCTCTGCTTTTCAGTATTTTATTTTTTGGGGGGGAAGGCGCTCGGATATGAGATGGAGCAGCAAAACCCCCAGGAGACCAACGCGCTCCCGAAGCCCCTGCGCCGGCACAGCCCCGAGCGCCGGAGCTGCGGGACAGAGGGACCCGGGCTGGGCATGGCTGCCCCCAGAGTTGACACCTGGCTGGGGTTTGTTTCCGCCCGTACGGTGTGGTTGTGCATTCACACGTGTGCGCACCGGCTCGTCCCTCTCTCCCAGGAAAGGCGAGCAGCCGCCGGGAAATTCCTTCCGTGGCCGCTGCCCAGTTCCACACCACGGCGGGCACGGCTGCACTCCGGGGCGGGGGATGATCCGGCAGGGCGGGGAAACGGAGGAGGGGGGTGCCGAGCCTAGTCCCGTCCGGACACCGCCACCGTCAGCGGCAGCACGGGCTGCCTATCCCCCGATCTGGCCGTTCCCCTGCGCCAGCTCGTCTGTTTTATGCCATTTTCTCAGTCCCTCTTTCTTTCCCGTATTCTCCCCTCTGGCCGTTCCCCTTTGTAAGTCCCAGCCAGCCGAGGCCCCGCAGGGAGAGGATGCATGAGGCAGGTGGGGTCAGCTTCCGCTGCATGCCCTGGCTTTGTGCGCAGCCCTCGCTGCACCACTTGCACTCTCTCTGTATCCCTTGGCTAGGAAATAGGGTGAGGACCTTGCGTGTGGTCTCCAGAGCCACGTCTGTGCACGCCAACACCACTTGTTTGGTCTTCATCAGTATGAAATGTGCAGAATCCTCCAAGCACTCAGCTCTGAAGGAGATCTCAGGTCAGGAGCTGTAGCTCTGTAGAGCGCATCACAGTCACCACTCTGGATGTAATGGGAGTGAGATGTAATCCCTGTGCCCTCTACAGTCAACGTAGTGAAGATTTTTGAGATGGTTATTGGAAATTTGGAGGGGTCTGCTAAATGTCCTCTGGATGGGCTGCCAGGACAAGTATTTCTGCAGGAGGCATCTTCTAAATTTCCATCAGATGACAAGACGGAGAGAAGAACATGAACCTCCTCATGCAGCCCTTTGGGCGGCATGGCTTTTCCGTTGCCACAGTCATCCAGCTATTGAGGAGAAATTTCACAACTGTCTTCCACTAAATGGGGCATTTGTGATGAAGTGGGCAGCTTTTCTTGGGAACACGTCCTGATGTCTACAGAAGCAACAGATTCATGACTCCGAAATAATGTCTGAATGAATTACTTTATTAGATTATTATTATTTCTTTTTAACTTCAGGGTATTTCTTTTCCTAACTGTACCACTTGGAGAAAGACTAATTTGCAGAAAAGAGATTTCTTCTAAGTACAGGAGAGTAAAATACTCCTCAAATTTATCTCCCATTATAAGTATTAAAGAGTAATATACATAAATGTAAATGTTCACTTAAAAGTGATTTTTTTTTACAGCACAGACAATCCAATGATAGGCACCTGGAATAAAACTTTCTGAAGTGCAGCTTCTTTGCAGATGACAAATGGGTGGAACAATGACAGAAGAATCTGTTGAATAGAAATCAGTAGTGTGCTATCTGTACAATAAAGACACAGGCATCTGATAAATGCATCTGTTTATATATATATGCATGCCAGAAGGGGACAAGAGAAGACATTACAAGAAGGAGTGCTTGGTTTGGTTCAGCAATACTGTTCAGATTGTGCTGCCTCTGTCACAAAATTATTTATGCGTAGTCCTGAGATGGGAGATGGATGCAAGTGCTGTATACACCAAATGCTGTATGCACAAAAAGCCATTCCCAGCTCTCAGCCTGACCAGAGCAGAGGAACGAATACAACGTGGTGCCTCCGTTAAAGTTCAGGGACAGAGACATGTTGAAATGAATGCCTTGGTTACCCTGTTTGCGGTGACACAGAATCCTAGTAATTTAAGTAAAAGATCATTAGCTAAAGCCTTACTGCACATATTGGATAAAATGAGCCCAACCTATCATTCTTTTGCATTGGTTTTGTCTGTGCAAAGCCACTAATTTTCTTTAAATAACATAAGGTAAGGAAGCCAGGAGAGATTGTCCATCTATAATACTGCAGGAGTTTATTTTTCCTTGCTATTAAAAGCTGCTGAAAGCCCATTTTTTACTTATGCGTTATTTAGCTCATGTGAACCACAGTGAAAGGAAATGTTATGCAGATGTCTTAGCTGCGCTAATAGGGTGGTTGAAATAAATGGAGAGAAAACCTGCTAGTTCTTAATCACAAAATAATGTACCTGCCTCTCCCTGCACTGCTGGTGCAAGTCTCTTGGTAAGGAGAGCCCTGTAAACTCTTGCTTCATAAAAACTAAAGTAGCTGCTGAAAGATTTCCATAGTTCTATTAAAAACTAACAAAAGTTACAAAAACTTCAGAATTGATTATATTTTTCTATGGAGATCATAAAAGTGTTTAGAAGCTGCTTGAGATAAAACTCTTTTTGGTGAAGAAAAAAAAAAGAATGTCTGCTGTCAAGAAAAAAAACTAGGAAGAGAAAAATGACCCATTCAGACCTAAATAAAGTGTGTCTTTACATTGTAAAGGTTGCCTCTTTTAAAACAAGCTAAAAAGCTGCTTGACATTATGCAGTATGGTCTCATTTTTTGTTTATATGTGTCAACATGATGTATAGATCTCTTAAGATGTCAAGCGCTCCATATTGTAATTTCTAAGTTACCTTTGAAATATGAAACATGATTTCTTAGTCATAGTATGACTGCTCACGCAGTAAGTGGTCGTTTCTTTGGTATTAGTAACAGAGGAGACTGTGCTGTTGTTAAAGCAAGCGCCCTTGGACGTTATCTGAGTACCAGGGAAAAGCACGGAGCGGCTGCACGCTTGCGGAAGTAGTTGTGTTTTGGGCCACAGCTGCCTGAACCCACAAGATGTCGAATTCCCTTGGTCAGCCCTAGACCTGCAGGAGATCCCTGCAGCACTGGGCCATTGTATGAAACTTAGCTTTGAGCATTCATTCCCTTTCTTTATTTAAGATGATTAAAGTTTATATTGAATTCATTGTTTTGGGGACATGGGTGGCCATTCTGCTCTGTGCTGACATCCAGCACTGGACCTGTTGTTCCTGCATCTCACAGGACATGTATTATGGTGGTTTAACTGGTGGGCAAGGGGTAAGACATTGAATTAGGTGAGAACTAGAGTGAAAATGTGGCAGCACAGATATCTCCCTTGGCAGTGCAGGTCTGTTGGGGCCTATGCGGTGCCTAGCTGTGCTGGAGCCCAGATTACCCGTGTTGCTCAAGCAATCTAGCTAAAGGTATCCCTAATTGCTGTGTTTATTAGAATTATTGTGTGCCAGTGCCAAGGTCTGTTCTTTTGCCTGGGGGCTAACTGCTGCTTGGGATGTTTGACCACATCCTTCCCACTCCCACCTAGAGAGGATGTCTGCATGGGGTGACTCCTGGCCTCTGTGGACTCCTGCACCCATGTGGGATGGGGTTTCCTGGGACAGCATGGGTC